GTCGTCTGGCTTATCCTAGGGTGTCGGTTGAAATGATTGTCATCAGTTGACGGTGACCAGAAGGAGTTCGATAGACAAAGAGAATACCTCGAGAAGTGTATTAATACTCTGAAAGAGAAGCACGAGAAGGCAACTCGGGTGAGAAGTAGAATTATTATTCTGCTCACTATTGGGGAAGCTATGTGCTTGGGCAATTATGTGTATGTCCTCCTTCAAGGTTCACAGAGCTACGAATACTAGAGTTATGCAGGACAACGTGACGTTGATCAAAGAAATCAACATTCTACGGAGAGAAGTATCATTCCTGAAGAACGAGCGAGCTGCAGAAAAGCGACTGAGTTTGCCCGAAAGCTCAGAGATTCCTGTGTCGACGATTGAGCAAGAATCTACTGGAAAATGCCTGGATGCCGTGCAGCGCGAGGTTCGCCATATATTGTATGCCATTGATTCAATCTGCATATAGTATCATCGCAGTAGGTTGGCATTTTGATAATAAGTCATAGCTTTATATTGTCTATCTTCACTGCTTGCCATTCATGTGATATAATCATGTTCAACTTATGGTAATCATCTCCAGCACTGTGGGTTACACTCTACCAGTGCCCTAGAGTCACCGTGACCCTAGGTTTTGAGCTCGGATCGAAATGAGTGAAACCAAGACGCTGTCACTCCAGGATCCAGCATTTTTAAGCCTCGATTCACTGTTATCGAAACTTGCTCTGATAGACCGCCTCGCGAAGGGCGTATTTTTGACAAGGGCTTTGTGTCAGGAGATCGAAGCGTTGAAGTGTGCACTCGAGGAGCTTGATAAGTCAGCATCAGAAGTTGTGGGAGATGCTACGATATCCGTTGCATGACTACGCTCTGTTGAGGATTAACCAGTCGTAAGTTACGACTCGTAACGGAACTTTTTGTGTTCTTCATTGGGATTGGCGACGTAATCTTATCATTTCATATCCAATCGACGATTAGTAATCGTACATTCAGTCACGCAACAGAAGAACGCAGCGAATAAAGGGTTATGACCATCTTGGCGAAACACTCTTGCACCGGATCGATTGAAATTTTGAACATTAGCGCTGACTGCGATATTGTGAAAGACAAAAGAATATCTGGCCAAGTTTAGCAATGTTTGATCACAACTCGTTACATAGCGGTAAATGCGGCTCAAAGAAGA